GGTCAGTTTCTTATGGCTTAGAGCTTAAGTACTCTTTAAAGCAAGGTTGTTTTCCAACAATTAAACTTTTAGGGCTCTTGATGACATTTTTACATGATTGTCAGTTTCTATAAAATGCAGCAATAGCTCTAGACCAGCACTAATAGACCATGCACACACGCTCATACTTTTTTTTGGTAATTGCAGTTCTAGATGGCAAAATTGCGATGGTAATAAATTCGGCAATGATGTATACAATATTGAATTTTTATCCGAGGACAAAATAAAACCGTCGCTCTTTGGCGCAAAGTACAATTTTTATTTGGATGGTGTAGTCAACTGCCCAGAATTCCTGGTTCATCTACCCACTTTGTGCAAGTTGGCTCTGAAATACGGCCTTGAATTAGTATCGTTTGAAAGGTAAGAGAAAAGAAGTACACCAACTGAAATCCATTATTAATCGGTACACATTATTGACGAATGACTTGTAAAAAGCATATATATGTTAATTTAAATGTACGTAGACATTAGTATTGATACAAATTATTGCCGCATTTTTCTAATGTATCTAAGTTATTACCTAAAAAAAATGTTTTTTATTCAGATTCGAAGATTTCTACGAGCGTTTCAAAGGCGAGGGTAGATCTCTTTTAGGAAATATGCAGGCACTAGAAACTTACCCGCCGTATCACGAATCACCTTTACTTGGCGATCCCGAGCGGGACTATCATCATGCTGTTGAATATATGCAGAATCTACCTGCGAATCATCGTAAGATTGGCACTCTCTCGCAGTCGGAATGGGAAGTTACTTGTGAGTATAAGAATTTCAACTAAAGATAAGGAGAATCGAAAAATGAAAAGAAAAATAATAAAGATTCTGAATGAGTCCGATTTCTCAACGAATCTTTTTACAGCACTGTATGCAGTATTTTCATTTCGAAAAATGAAGACAATTTGGAACAGCGAAGGAAAACCGGAGTACATCAAGTTATAAAGTTTCGTAAGATAAAGAAAAATAAGAAAACTGAAGCAAGGAACGATTTTTTCTTGATGATTTTACATTGTACAGACGATTTTTTGTTACTGTATCTAGCTTATGACAGAATGATCCGTGTGATACTAATAGAGCCATTGCTGCGTTTTATAGAAATTGACAATCATGTAAAAATGTCATCAAGAGCACTAAAAGTTTAATTGTTGGAAAACAATGTTTTTTCATTTATACTTGACTTTCGATTTTTCCGAGTTGCAAGAAATTTTTCGGTATTACACGAATGATTTAGACCTTAGGAAATACAATATCCTGTTGTAATGTTAATTTCCTAAGCGAGTGGTTTTTTAATAATTAGGCAATAAGGAAAATGTGTATCATATTTCTAATTAAGAGTTATATAATTTTCAATTATATAATTCTTAGTTACATATAAATGTGTGTATAATTAAAAATTGGAATATTATAATTAATAGAATTATGATATGATTATTATATTTATTATATGATTATATAATTAATATAATTATAATATTATAATTGTATATACTTACACAGATAGATTTAGTAAAATTATATATAATTATTGCTATAATTATATATATTTACATGTAGGTTTAGTAAAATTATGTATAATTATTGCTATAAATTATTCATCATACAAAAATGACATTTAAAAATGCAAGTATTCTTTTAATTCACATTTCTTAAAAATAAACACGCTGCGAAAAAATTAGATTTTCAAATATATTATGTAAAAAAAAAAACAATTTCTTTGCGCTAATGCAATGCTTCGAAAATTATAAACTACAATGTATAATAATCGAACGTACAATCGAATGCAACTTCACAGAGTCGATCCAACGTGAAGTTGAACCAAACGAAATAGTTGGTTCACGACGACAAGAGATATCTCGTATGAACTTATTCTCAAAGTCAGCAAAACCGCGGAAGTACGAAGTAATTTCAAAATTATCGGGTTTCTTGCATTCCGAAAGCTTGCGCAACGATCAAGTGCAATACTTCGATTTATCTCCATAACGATATTGTAATCTACTTCGGAAATTCTCGGCGATTAACTCCCCTTCGCAAGTAAAATCCCGTTTTTAGAAGTTTACTTTTGCCGATCCTCGCGTGAGAAAGATCTTCCTCCACCGCGAGAAAAGAGAAAAATTAAAAAGAGAATCTCTGTCGATCGAGATCGATACAAATTCGACCGGATCTCGCTGTGGGATAACGTTTCCGTCGTGCGCGGGTCCTCTCATGACGGCGAAATGAAATCGTCTTCGCGGATCGTGTATTGAACCCGCCTGCGGGACCGTACCGGTTTCAATCGACCTCGCGGTGAATGACTCCCTCGGATCGAAACGGATCGCATCGGCCTCGCGCGGCGCGCGATCGCGATCGCGTCTGGTTCGCGAATCGCGCGTACACTTGGCGAGGGGTGGGACGAGCGGGCGCATGCGCGGTCGCGCGTTTCTGACACTTAGACTGGTTGCGCGGCGTCGCGACGCGCGCAGAAGAAAAGTCCAGTCCAGTCGTTCGTCGGACGTGGGACGGGACGGACGCGGTTACGGGCGGTGGAAGTCACTTTCTCTCCTTCCTTCTCGCTGCCCCTCGCCTTCTGCTGCTCCGTCTTTCTCTCGGCCCACGAATTCGGCGACGACGACGACGACGGACGGGGCGGCGTGCAGTGCAGAGACAGAAAAACGGAGGCCGCGCGCTGCTCGTCGGTCGGTCGGAGCCGTGCCGTGTGTGCGTGAGAGTCGTGCGTCGTGCGTTGTACGTGCCCAGCCATCCGCTCGGCTCGCGACTCGCGGCATTCGCGGCTCGCCTCGCTCTGTCGGCAGCGCAGCTGAACCTCGCGGGCTCGCGCCGCAGTCCATCGCTGGCCGCGCCGTACAGGTTCCGTGTGTGTCGGGGAAATGGAGCTCGAGCAGGCGGCGGCGCAGGTGAACCTGGTAAGCATCGCATTTCCGCATCGGGGTGCGATTCCGCGACCGCGTAGGTACGCGTTTTCGCGTTTAACGGCCGTACGAGCGCTCTCGCCTCTTGGTCGGCCGCGCGCCGACCCGTGTGCCGACGCGAAATTTTTCTAAGTCCCAAAATGGCGTCTGCGGCTAAGTCCTCTGCCGTGGCTGAACGCGGACGAAAGCCGCGAGCTCCCGAGACACGAGAGTGCTCGGCTCTTTAGAGGCCGTTGACGGACGCGCGTACTCCCCCCGAGGTCGACCCCCTTCGTCGCGCTTCCTTCCGCGCCTGAATGGCTGCTCGTCTGTTACAGGAGAGGAAGACCAAGGAGAGCGGCGGCGGCGACGGCGTCTCCGGGAATCATAGTGGTGAGTTCTTTTTATTCTGGCCGCGCGCGCCAGGCAAACGTTGACCGATCGCGGGCGACATGTGGGAACGTGGTTGAATTAAAATCGGCAGGAGGACCCGCGACGACCCCACCGGGGAAGGGGGAATCGAACACGTGTCCCGTCCCGTCCAGGGAGGAAGCGCCGGAAGGCGGAATCCGCGATTTTTCCGGCACGCACGGAAATCACCGCTTCTCGGATCCAACGCGAATTTTGCATTTTTCCGAAAGTTCGATTTTCGTAATTTTTTCCCGACGACAGAAACTCGGGACTTTTCGAGAGAATGTCGTGGGTGACGATGCTAAATGCTTATCAAGTTCTTCAAGACAAATGTGCCATTGTACCAAGGCTGAAAAAAAAAACATGTGATAGAGGCTTTAAAGGGCGCGTGAGTTTTCGATTGTTAGGGCTTTGGCACGTAGAAAAATTTAAGTAGTAAGGAAATCAACGATATGGATTCGCTACACCGCTTCGTCTTAAGCTCTTGACTGTGATTGGCTGATTTGCTTAATGCTTAAGTTTGTCTATGTGCCACGGCCCTTAGTCTTTTTGTAGAAAAATTCAGGGCCGGTATTTATAGTTGGATCTTATTTCAAGACTATAATATCTTAAGATGCTAATACGGTTCTGTGATTGATTAGTGACATCTTAAGATTGTACTTAAGACGGTTTTTAAATATAAGAACCGACCGTGAATACCGGCCCAGGTGTTTCTTTCCTAAGAATCTTATTAAATCGGACTAAACGTGTTCTTGGTACTTGGAAAAATAAATATTAGTTTATCGCAAAAAGTGTGAAAAGAATAATCAAATAAGGAATAGATGAATGAAATTTAAAATTGGAAACATTGCAATATTTGATTATTCTTTCCACACTTTTTGTGATAAACTAATATTTATTTTGTTTTATTATTATATACTTTATATCACTGGTGGGGAAGAAGGGATAAAACGGATAAAACCTCCCTTTTTCTAAATAAAACAAAAAATAGTTTTGCTGGATTTGTTAAAAAAATCTAGGAAAAAAATACAAAAAATTTTTTAAAAGTAAAAATCAGATCAGAAGTTTTATCATGTTCTTGTCGTTGATTCTGGAGTAAAAGCTACGCGTGATACTAAGAAAAATATCAAATCAATTAATTTTGCCGAAACCCTCTCATTATCGATGACAGAATCTGCTAATGCTTTATACAATATAGATCTTACATTTTTTGTTACAGAATTATTCTTTCATATGTAAAATAAATAATAAATTTCTTGTGTATTTCAACCCTATACTTAATTTTCCTAGATCATATCAATGGCATGTCCAATGGTTTCGACAAGAAAAGGGAACACAAGTCGGAGCATAGAGACAAGGACAGAGAACGGTCTCACAAATCGGATCACAAAGACAAAGATCGGAGCAGAGATAAGGAGAGAAATCATAAAAGCGAACACAGGGATAAGGACAAAGACAAGCACAGACATAGCTCCAGTTCCGTTAAGGACAAGGAGAAGCACGATGGCAGTAATAATAAAGATAAGGACAAGGATAAAAAGAGTTCCTCGTCTAGTAAAGACAAGGAGCATAAGAGTAGCAGTTCGTCCAGCAAGGATAAGGAAAAGGATAAGGAAAAGAGCAGGGACAAGGAACATCATCACAAATCAAGCTCGAGCTCCAAAGATAAAGACAGGTAAAATGAAAAGGATGTTCCATAAAATAGTATTTTAATGATGTTCCATTACGATATTTGTCTGATGACGATGTATTTCTGCCAGGCATCACAGCAGTTCTAAGGACAAGGACAGCTCAAGCAAAGATAAAGAGAAGGATTCGAAGAGCAAGGATAAAGATAGGCATAGACACAGTAGTTCCTTGAACTCTAGCTCGCGCGACAAAGACAAAGATCGAAGTATCTCAAAGGACGGCAAGAAGCACTCGTCGGAAAAGGACAAGGATAGACATTCCACTTCTCACTCTTCAGGCGATAAAGAGAAGCATCGTTCGTCGGAGAAAGATAAAGACAAGCATAGAGAAAGTTCGTCCAGTGGTAGAGATAAGCACCGCCACGAAAAAGACAAAGATCGCCACCGCCACGATAAGGACAAATGTATGCAGGACTATCTAAATGTATTTACGTAACTATTTATTTTGTGCTTTTTAATCACCTGGTTAAATTGCAGCTAAGCATCGCGAGGAAAAGGAGAAAAAGGATAAAGAGGAGGTTAAAGTAAAGGAAGAACCGAACGTGAAGATGAATCACGCGATTAATCAAGGGTATCATTTTAATATGGAAATCAAGACTGAGATAAAGGAGGTAAGGTTTTGTTTGCGGTTACGTTTCAGAGAATGAATAAAGAGCGAAGTACTGAAATGGATCTTTCTTTAGGAACCTATGTCACAAGACTTGGATGATGACGATGACAGTGGTGGCGAACGACGGCTCTATATCAAGGAGGACGATGACGATGAACCGATGAAAGAAGACGGTAGCATGGACTCGACGGATGGAAACGACACCAGACTGTCGGATCTTCACAATACGACTATAAAGACGGAAGATGACTCTGAAGAGGATAAACCATTGGTAAATTTTATTTTAATTATAAGTTGAACAAAAAAAGAATAATCTTTTAAAGATTATTTAATTTAAAAAAATGCTATTAAATATATTGATACAGTTTTCGAGATCAAAGGTATCGTCAAGCGTGAAGAGAAAAATCGAGTCAGACGAAGATGAAGACGTCCCACTGTTGGCGCGAAAAAAATCTAAGAAGACGGCTAATCTGAAAACCAAGAAGAAGAAACGGAAACATGTAGACGATGACGATTCTGACGAGCCTGAAGAAACGCAGGTAATAGATTTTTTCCACAAGTTAACTTAGAATTGTATGTTTATGGTAGAATATGTTTCACACCATTTTTGTTTTGTAGAAACCAAAGAAGAAAAATACAAAGGTGAAAGCAGACGGCGACAGTCCAAGTCCGAGGAAGAAGAAGCAAGAGGAGCAGCAGGAAGTTTGGAAATGGTATGGACACTCAAAGCTTTCCGCGCAAACAGTAACGTGAACGCCCCTTTATTCCCTAATTTTTATTTTATTTATTTCTGCATTCTCTAATGGGATTTGCTCAGCATTTCATGTACGCGTCCAATAGGTGGATTAATTTCTAGGGATAAAATTGATAAGTTCCTAGGAAACTCCAATAGGCTGTCCGTAGGATATCGGAACGTCAGCCATTGGGCGGAGTGAGAATTGCTGTCCACGAAGCTAGAGAATTGCTCCGAGATCTTAGACGGAGGAAGAATTGACCAATCACATTTAAGCAATTCGGCCAATTGATCAATGCAATTGGTTAATTCTTTCTCCGCCCGAGATCTCGGAGCGATTTCTAGCATCGTGGACACAAGGCTTTAAGGCCGTATCCGATGCACGTGCACCCGTTACCCGTGCACGTGTTATATTTTCTAACGACGTCTCTCACCTCGAATCCTCGTTAATTCTTAAATGAAAGATGCGAATGACAGGCGAATGTAATGCGGATCCTTGTAAGAAATGTAGTGGCCCGTTTGTCAACGAGATGTTTATTTGATTTTGGCAGCAGCTACAATTACGTAGTTTATAAAACGAAAGAGCAACCGTCGATTTTGAGGTTATATCTGTAGTAACATTGGAGTAACATCGTATCTAACATCGGAGTTTGAAGTTATATTTTCTACCATTTTCTTAATATATGTTCCGTTTTGAAACTTAACATGATCTCTTTTCGTGTATCATTTAACATAATTTATTGTTAAAAACTTTCTTTTATACTTTAATGATACGTACTTTATATCCCGAAGCATGATCTCTTCTTTGCTGATCTTTTCGTGTTATTTAACATGATTTATCGTTAAAATTCAGGTGGGAGGAAGAGAAGAAGAGCGATGGCACGAAATGGCAGTTCTTGGAACACAAGGGACCAGTATTTGCGCCACCCTACGAACCCTTACCCCCTACCGTGAAGTTTTACTATAACAGCAAGGAGATGAAGCTGAGTGAGGAGACGGAGGAAGTTGCAACCTTCTACGCGCGTATGCTTGACCATGACTACACGACCAAGGCTGCGTTTAACAACAACTTCTTCCACGACTGGCGAGAGGTGATGACCGAGTCGGAGCGCGCCAAGATCACCGATCTGACCAAGTGCAACTTCAAGGAGATGCACGCGTACTTCTTGCAGAAGAGCGAGGAACGCAAGGCTATGACGAAGGAAGAGAAGCAGAAGATCAAGGAGAAGAACGAGGAGATACAGAAGGAGTATGGCTTCTGCACTATTGACGGCCATAAGGAAAAGATCGGTAACTTCAAGATTGAGCCGCCCGGCTTGTTCAGGGGCCGTGGTGAGCATCCTAAGATGGGCAAGCTAAAGAAGCGAGTGTTGCCGGAGGACGTGCTCATTAATTGTTCAAAGGACTCAAATATACCAAAACCACCGGCCGGCCACAAGTGGAAGGAGGTGCGACACGATTCCAATGT